GGGGTTGCTGTGAAGTTGTCATGGCAATGATATACGTTGTGGGTTGATTTCCCTTTACTGGATGCACTATAAATGTCGCAAGAAGCAGTAAATATTTATGCATAAATTCATTTGTACATTCTCTGGATCAGTTCCCACTCATTTGTGTGTGTATTTCTCCGTGCAATGTACAGTACAGTAGCCGCACAACACCACCAGCACATGGCAGCAGTGCAGTATCCTCTCTTTTACTTTGTGATATAAGCCTCCAACATGCCTATTTTTTTTTAAATGGTTTAAAAAAGTGATTATTATACTATACTATACTATATTTCAGATTATTATACATTTAAAGAGGTGTGCATTATGCCACTAAATAAATACAACGATAGAAAATGTGGATTACATAGGGAAATTATTACAGTGTTTCTCAATCGATTTGACACATTTCTCCAAACTCAGGTCACTGTTCTCAAACAGTGATCTGACTCCTAAACAGATTATAAGTTTTCATTCATTTCATACAAATTACAAATCTTGCTCATAATTTTCTCAAAACACTATGCACAAAACTCTCAAATGTTTTCAAAATGGTTAATACAACCAATACTTTAAAATATATTTTAAAAGCAATTGTAGCTTCTTTTATTGGTTTTACACAAATCACAAATATTTATGTACCATTTGTCCAAACACAACAAACAAAATACTGTCATTTGTCATTCTATCAAATGAACATGGTATATTTTATCTAAACTGATAACTACTCGGTTAATCATAAACTCAACACAGGAAATGCAGCTTTCCTAATCATTAAGACATTTATCACAATTGCTTTAGATTAATAATAAAAGGGAAGGTATACAAAGAGCACAAAAGAATATGCAATAAATAAATAAATAAAGAGGTCTAAGTCTATAAGGCAGTGGATAGGGGAGAGAAAGGGGCGTAATGAGAGAAGAAGAAGAGTGGAACATTTAGAAAGAGATGAGCAGAGAGGAGGATGTGAGAAAAGAGGAGAAGAGAAGGAAAGGGAGAAGGGATGATTAGAGAAGAGGGCATTGGTCTAGTGCAGGGGTAGGCAAGTTCGGTCCTAGAGAGCCGCAGTCCTGCAGAGTTCAGCTTCAACCCTAATCAAACACACCTGAACAAGCTAATCAATGTCTTCAGGATTACTAAGTCTATAGGCAGGTGAGTTTTTTTTCAGGGTTGGAGCTGAACTCTGCAGGAATGCGGCTCTCTAGGACCGAACTTGCCTACCCCTGGTCTGGTGGAAAGAGCAAGAGGAGAAACTGTAAGAAGACATGGACAGAGAAGAAGTGGACAACAGGTTGGAAGAAGAGGTAGAAGGTGCAGATGTAAAAAAAATCATGGCCTCTCCTTTAGAGAAGCTCCAGGAAAAAGTTAATAGTAAGTGTCAATACACTTATAAAGTGTTGTACTATGATTGTTGATTGTTTAGATTTTTAGTCCTCAGGGGACAACTTCTGTTATTTACTGTGAATGTCCAAACATTTTTCAGAATTTAAGTTCAAGAACATTCAGGTGGACAATCAAGATTATTTGAATGCACCAGGAGCATTGTTGACATGGTGGTCCAGAACAACATCACCAGCTACAAAGGAAGAGGCCTGTGGAGATGTTGAGACAGGAGCTTTTCAAGCATGGATTCAATTTTCTTTTTTTGATTTTTGGGTTACATTCTGCAAAGAAGAATGGGCCAAAGCTCTACAGCAACGCTGTACAAGATTGCTCTAAAGTTATCAGAAGCGTTGCTTTGCAGATTTTGTTGCTAAAGGTGGCACAACCAGATTTTAATTATCTTTATTTAATGGTATTATAGTATATGATTTTATAGTTTTATTAGTTTAATTTGTCAAATGGGTGATAGATGTTGGGTAAATGTGTATTTTAATTTGTGTATTTATGCAACTATTGATGAGTATGTTTTATAATCAATAGAGAACACACCTATAGTTTTTAATATTTACTTTTAATAAACACATTATTAGAAAAAATGCAGTGCTTCATTATGCAGTAAAGTTGACTGTTTGGTTAAAATATGCATGTGCTTAAATGGCTGTGTTAATTGTTTTGATAGCAATTACATTGGGGAAAATTGTCAAATCGATTGAGAAAAACTGTAATGATATAGGCCTAGCCTAGCTTTCTAACATCCCCAAGTTTAAACTAAAATAAATGTTTAATGATTGTGAGTTATATATTTTTTCTGCATGTCATTTGCAGGGCTCCATGAAGTGGTCTACACATTTTCAACATAGGCATAAAGTCAGGGACAGTTAAACTTATTAATTCCTGCAGGTTTTCATATAGAGATCTGTATCAGTGTAAAATCAGTACAAAATCTATTGTGAATGAAATGAATGTAATTTTATTAGTAGAATTACTAAAAGTACATTTCAAAAATTTGTATTTGTGACTAATATTAAGTAATGTGACAATATAGATATTGAGTGTAGGTATAAATCTGTGTATTGAACAAGCTACCACTTTTAATGCTCCGATGCAAAGTGCATCTCATTTTACGGTAAAATAATATGATTCAATGATATAAATAATACTGCACACCTGTTAAAGTATAAAAATCTAAAATATATTGTAGTACTATGTAGCATAGAATAAAACGTAAGCACAGGTTCATGGTCTTGACATTTGCTATGCTGCTTAAATAAGTACTACTAAGTTTGCTTCTGTGAATATGAATGATTTCATAGATTATCTGCTGATTCATCAAATCTAGGCCATTGGCAAGGCAAAGTTGACTGCTAAAAATTAATTAAATGGTGATTAAAGCACCACTTACCAGTCAAAACCTGCAAATGCATTTTGTTGAATTTTTAGGTTTGGCAATGTGTGTGGGTGAAAACATTTGGAATATAGGTATGTCTTATTATGTTCAGCTAAATGGATATCACCAACTTCAAATCATTCGCCTCATTATATCATTGTTTTTGCTAGTGTTTTTCTTCTACAGAGAACTGTACCAACCAAAAATCAGAACTTCAAAGATTCTCAAAAACCTCAAAAAAAAAAAAAATAAATGTTGCATCATATCTCAGATAGCCTACATGGGATTACACAAGATTTGTATTTGAAAGAGAACCAGTTCTAAAGAAGAATAATTAGCTTTTTGGGTTAAAATATTTTTTTTATATGAAATTCGAATGGTATGACAATTAGAGATTAGACTGTGCAGAAATGGAAATCTACACGCTACTACACACTACATACATGTAGTCACGTAATGCTGATGTTGTTAACAGTAACAATTTGAGAACAAAGTATAACAGTAATAATAATTTGCATGGTTTGAGGTGATATGAGCTAACCGTTCATTAGATTTAATCACCATTGGTAGCGCAATTTACTGTAGCGCAGTTGGTCAGAACAAAAGTGTCAAAAGTGTTACTTACTCGTTCAGATGACAATATCTGGTAAAAATTAATATTTGGGTCATACTTCCAAGACATAGAATCTGGTATTCCGAAGTACAGTGAATAGCCACACCAGTGCGGTGACTGACAGCCACACATCAAAACATTAGATTCATCCGCGCTGAGGAGCCGTGCCGGTGCACAACCCCCATAAAAAGATAATTCCACAAATAACTGCAATTGCAGGTTTCAAACAGAGATGGCGACAAAGAGGCAAAATTTACGGACTGCAGCTTTAAAGAGGCATTTGGTCTATTCAGAGAGACATTTTCAATAAAAGTTGATGAAGGTCTTGTCTATGATTGTTGCTGAAACAGGGAGTCTTACCAATGAGAGAATTCAAGGAAGAGTACGAGCTGACTCTCCTCATCTTGTCGATGGTTTCAAAGGAGAGAAGGTATTCATCATTATCAGGGCTGCCCAAAGTACTGCTGGCACTGCTGCTGGTGCTCAGGTTCCCTGGAGAGAATGCTGCCGGTCCACCTATAACACAGTGGTGGACAGTTACGGAGTAGTTTTACTTCGTTACTGTACTTAAGTCAATTTTTCAAGTATCTGTACTTTACTGGAGTAGTTTTATTTTGAGTAACTTTTACTTCACTACATTCCAAAGCATAAGATCATACTTTTTACTTTACTCCATTTCATAAAACATATCGTTACTCCTTATAATATATCACATGCTCTGACACGCAGAAGCGGTGTCTGATTCAAGAACAAACTGATTCTTTTCAATTAACCTTTTAAATCGGTTCGCAAATCGCACCAAACGATATATTCACGAATTAAGCTCGGCTCACACTGTGCGATTTTGGCCACGATTTGGTCGTCCGAGACAAATTTTGAAAATCCTAAAAGAGTCCTATAATCCTAGGCTAAAATCTGTAGTCTTTGATCGTTAGTTTGACATGTTCACCGACAGCCGATTAATGGCTGCTGCGATCAAATTTTACCTCTGACGAACTTCTGGCAGTGTCAGAAGATTTGGCGCACAGTCCTGCAGTGTGACATCTCCTACGACGAATGTCAAACTGTCTTCGTTTTTCGAGACAAGCCATGATCAGAATTATTGCTAGAGATTTCTTCTAACTGCATAAACTCCGGCGCTCCCGTCCTCCAATCACAGAATTACTCTGATATGTTGCCTTTGCTATTATAAACACCAGTTGTGCTGCTGTTTTCATGTGGGTGTGAAGTGCTGCTTGCACTATTCTGCATAAATACGCTGGTATTGCTGCCATTCATATACTTTTAATGATAGTCAACATTACAGTCCCGTGTGCAATGCAGCTCGCAGTCACCAAACGTGTATGGGTTGATAATTTAGAACTCCAGGCAAGTTTTCTTGCGCGCACCCGTTTTTAACAGGTCTTGACTATCGTACAGTCTGACATTAATGACAACTGAGATCCCACAGTGTGACATGATCATCATGTTCGTACAGTCTGACAAGTACAATCCTAAAGGACTTTTAAAAAATCGCACAGTGTGAACCTGGCTTTAGAATGAACCGATTTGCAGCTGTTCTCGAGTTCGACAACTCACTGATTCAAATGAACCGTTTAGTGCGAGTCTCCAGTGAACTGAATCTAAGAACCAGGAGATCTTGTGAGCGAGCGTGCGCGCGACTGATGCTGCTAAAAGTAAGTTACTAATGTCGAATTTTAGGATTAATTATTGTAACTGAAAATCATATTTAGGTCAAAACTGTCAGTTGTTTGTGAACTAAATCTGCTATAAAGGGTGATCTATTTAAGCCCACTGAAATGCTTGAATGCAGACACATCAACATCAGTGTCTCTATGTTTTAGGTAAAAATAAATAAATAAATAAATAAACCTTAAAAATAACACAGACTACATAAAATAACTCATGCACGTTCATATACCCCGCTGCCGTAACGTTAACAGTTTTATTAAAATGCTACGCATTTAGCCCTATGTGACGTCTGTTTTTATATTGTTTATCAACAGTATACATTTTTATATTGATTAACTAGCCGAGTAGACAGATATGAATGTTTATTCATCATAACCATACCTAAAATAAGTAAATATTGTTAGCTGATGCTAACTGTCTAGCTAACAAGCTTGTTGGTGCTAAGTTGAGGTACTTTTTAGATATAAAGTCCAAATATTTTTATTCAACCACCTAGATTACATCTAAAGGAAAAAGAAAGGATGTGATGGTCAGAACATGGTAACTACAGTAATTAGTGGGAAGTGATGCCCTCTGGGGGCATTTGGCCAGGGGTGTTTTCACACCACAGACAAGGTTTGAGAAGAAAAAAATCATTATGAAAATATAATTATATTTTCCTTAAAATGTTCTTCCTAACTTCAGGCCTTATTCTCATGTAATATATAACTGTGATGTTCTGCAAAACAACAAGCTTTAAAACACTTTTTTCTTAATGATGAAAATCAGATGGTCAAATCTGTTTTCTCTCAGGTACATCGCAGTGTAAGCTTCATAGTGAACATTACTACATCACTCTCGTCAACGTAGTCCATATCAACAACAAAAATATATCTTGACTCAATATAGTGGTTATTTTGGGAAAATCCCAGGTATTTTGAGCAGTTAGGCATGGGCTAATAACCGGTTTCAAGGTATACCGCGATTTGAAAATGTCACCGTTTCAAAACCACTAATATTTTCCATTATACCGTTCCTGCGGTATGCACTGTTTTTCATGTCTTCTCAAAGACTGAAAGTGTAGGAATCTCTCAGGTTGAGTGCAGTGTAGAGAGTAACACGACCCTCCTCCTCCTGTTGGTGCAAGCGAGCAGTGGCGGCTCGTCGGAGGAGGCAGGGGAGGCACAGCTTCCCCATAATTTTGAGGTGAAAATGGGAGGAGGACGATTTAATGTTAATAAAATTAACAATTAATTTCAGTTCATGTCTCAGAATGTGTATTTTTTGTAATACCATAACGTGAAAGCTCCACTTTTCTATCGCGAATGTGCCGAATCTGCTGTTGTAATTACAACCGCTAATGATAGAGAAGGGTAGGGGGAGGCCGGGTGAGCGCTGAGCTCTTGTGCCTCCATTGGTAAAAAAAAAAAAAATTTTAGCCAATCACCATCGAGTGTTCACTTTTAGCGCCGAGGAGTGTTGAGAAAAGAACCCTTGCCAGGGAGGCTAACCTCCCTTCTGATATCAACCAATCATCACAGAGACGTAAATATTAGTTTGAACGTCTGCCGCTGCGCTGATAATGTACCAAGTACTTATGATGAGTAGCGATATTGAATATTTGATTGCCAACAGATTTACCAAGCTGTCATTCAAACAGTATATATACAAATTTATGGAAAACAGCCTAATTTGGATATAGGCTACAGCAGTCGGCTTTGCTTCAAATTGGGTTATTAAATCAAATTATGTATATTAAATTATATAACTAAATGATATGAAATTATATAAATGATATGTATATGAATTATATAACTAAAATTAAATAACTGTAATTACAGATTAGGTTAAATAAAGACATCGTCTAAAAAAAAATATGTGCTAATATTTAATTAAATTAAGTAGCCTATATAAAATTGCTAAATAAATCTCTCTCTCAGTACTTTTTTACTTAAGTACATAAAAAATCGAGTACTTTTGTACTTTCACTCGAGTAAAATTGAAAAAGGAGTACTTTTACTGGAGTAATATTTTATCATACGTATCTGTACTTTTACCCAAGTACTTGATTTGTGTACTTCGTCCACCACTGACCACTGATCACATATAACAAAAAATAACCATTGTTAGGAATAGGGGTGGGTGATATGCCCAAAATCTTATATCACGATATAAGGAATTTTATTTTTCACTTATAAAGGGGACGTATTAAATCTACAATATGACCCGCAGTTTAGCAGCATGATTTTATGGCAATCACATTGACATTGTGAACTGTTGAAAGACATAAAAAAATTTTAATTGAAAATTTTGTACCAGAGATTTCAGGCTTAGTGATGTAGAGTCGAGTTTGACTCACCCTCCTCATTGAGATTGAGGTTCTGAAGACTCTTATTGAGGGTTCGAGCAGTGGTGGCAGCTCTTAGGTTTGTATAGGAGTTCACTGATCGTAAACGAGGGATGGCAGGACTGTCCCTACCCGGGGTAACATTTCCTGTCTCTACACATACACGCACACAAAAATCAAGGCAGATGAAACATCAGATATACAACAGACCATGACTATGGTTTGATATGTGGAATAGATAGATAGATAGATAGATAGTACATTGCGTCATATACAGTACATTACTGTAAGCAGCATTTATTGCTGTTGTTTAAACTATAAATCACTAAGAAATAAAACAGTTATAAATAATTACCTGTGGAATTTGCAGGAGAGGGTACAGCATAGTTTTTCTCTTCCTCCATGAACTGCAGAGCCACAGTACAGAAATTACTCTCATACTGTTCGACTAGGTGACTAAGAGCAATGACCAGCTCCTAAACATGACAAAAAACAGGTAAATAAAAGTTATTGAATGTAAACAAAGTCATAGCAGGTCATCATGAGCCAATGCAGGTCATCTAAAGTCAGTATAGATCAACATGGGTCAGTTAGGTAAACAATAGACACAACAGATAAACATGAGTCAATGAAGGTAATCAAGAGCCAGTACAGGTAGACTGTTTTAATTACTTTTAATTTTGCTCTCACTAGCTCTTCTTAAAAAGGTCCTGCGGTGTGGCAAATGAAGTAAAAATATTCCATGTAGTAGTCGCTCAGTTAATATAATGCCATATATTCATTCTGTAATAATTAAAACTAATATAAAAAGTATTTAATGTCAACTACAACAATACAAGACATCACTCTTGTATTGTTGTAGTTGACATTAAATACTTTTTATATTAATAAATCAACACCAGTAAACATCAGTCAGTAGGCTACAGGTGAAAAGAGTCAATACAGGAAGACACATCTAACAACTGGTTAAACAAAACTGGAAAAAACAACAACAGTATAAGAACATGTGGGTTATAACAGAGAAACATTCAAATCAGTTGAGATTGAATTAGCCAAAAATATTATAATCACTATTGAGCCGCAAACTGAAAAAGCCCGTGACATTTTTATTTTTGCTAGCAATTTTCCCCACCCTAAATTTCATAAACATGTTAAACTACATTACCAGAGGAGAGAATATGTTGGACCTTTACACAAACATCAGCAATGCAGGGTAATGCAGCTACCCCAGTTTGGATTTTGTAGACCACATCACTGCTATGGTAATTGCTGTATACAGGAAATGTACACTTCTCAAACGGACCAAACCTGTTGCAAAGCTGATTACTGGAGGCCAGAAGAAACAAGCTCAGCTTTAAAGGAGTCATGAAATGGAGAATCAAAATGTTCTTGATATTTATATGGATAAAAGCGTCTGCCAAATGCATAAATTATTATTATTATTATATGAGATTACTCTACTTACTCTCAAAGCTGACTAACATGCAATATTCTTTTCTACCCCTCTGAAATACCCAGATTTGAAATCTGGAGAATTATGACGTCACATTTCTGCTGTCGTATGTAATCAAAGAGTGTGTTCCGAACAACTCGTTTGTCCATCAGCGATACAGCTGTTGAATAAACTCTGATGTTGTTCTGTTAGCGGATGTAAAGAAATTGCAAAACTGTGCAGAGCCTTTCTAAAGATCTGAGCTTTATAAATGCATGGCTAAAGTTTATTTTTAATAACATGCCTGAGGAACTGAAAGATGAAGTTTTTATTTGTTCTTTACATTTTGCATCGGACTGTTTTGTGAATTATTCTAAACATGCTGTTCATTTTCCACAACATCTTTTGAATCAAATCTCACATCAAATCAAGTTTTTGAGTTCTATTTTGAAATCTGGTGCAGAATTGTATAATGACAGCATTTTGCTCATTTAGATTATTTTCCTGACCGATAACTGAAGCTCATTAGTCGATCATTAAGCAGTAAGATTAGAATGTCTTTTTTTGTCACATCATACACCTGCAGCGCTTCTGTGAATGGAGAAAAACAGAAATTAAGTATATAAATGTAGTAAAATAAATAAGACTGTGTGACAAGTATAGGGTACGCTTGTTTCTGTGAAAACTCATTCAAAACACATTCTATTTTTCTTTAAATCTTTATTTTATAAAATCCAACTAATCGTGCAGGCATCTCTCTCACACACAACAGAGTTTTAGCATTGCTAACTTGACATTTCAGCCATTTACCTTCAAACTAAAATGCAGTCAACCAAACAGAAAAGTTACACTGCTCAATTTAAAAGGTCCACTGTAAAATCAGCATTTTATGTGGATATTGGAACACGAGTTAAGTTCAAAGCCTTGTTTGCATAATGAATCATTGTCTAGCAACCAAATGTTGCATGGCAAAAAAATTAAAATATTTGGAGCAAAACATTTCAGTTTTGCTTTAAATTAATTAATTTTAGCTTGATGTTTGATGTTTTTTTTAATAAAAAATGACACTATAGCCTAATTTGTGTTTGATTTTATAATTTAATATATAACTTTATAGCTACTTATTTTTCATTCTTGTTTTGTTCCGAATACAGTTAAATGTAAAGGATTTGTTGTGGAGTGAAGGGAACTAAATAGGCTATATAGTGTTTATAATGTTTGCAAACGTTTCGTTAAATTTACCATTATTTAATATACATTTACATTACATTATTTAATAATACATTATTATTGTTTTCAGCCGCCACATTTACCAATTTCAAGATTGGCAGCATATGAATGTTTCATGAACCACGCATGAACCCTGTCATAAGTTGATTTGTGCACTCAGTTGTTTCTACGATAGATAGATTAATGAGGCCCGGTGTGTTTGTAACAAATGTCAAAACATTTAACCTATTAAGACACCAAGTGTATCGTCATGGTGCATGGCACGGCTGTGAACTGCGTCCAGGTGGTCCGTCTCATTTTGTTATGCCGTGGGATGCAAGAAATTTTTTTGGATGAAATTTCAACAATAAAATTGAAACAGAATTGTTTGAGTGTTGCTAATAAAATCAGTACATTATTTATTTATTTTTTAAGAAAAAAATGCTTTAGTTAGAATATTTTTATTATGCGAGTTGTATATATTTTATTATAGTTTATGTTACTGTTGCTATTATCAACCATTCACAACAATGGGTAGCTAGTGTTATCTTTTAGCGCTGTAGTTGTCTTTTAAGAAATTTGTTAACAGTAATTTGTATACAGATATTTGGTTACATTTACTTTGCTTTGCGTTGCAGATGGTTGTGTTGTTTCAATTGATTCTACATCAGGATCTGACAGTGCAATGATGTTAGCAGTTAGCCAATCACAGCAGTGGATGTTTACTTCCATTTCTGCAATGGAAAAGGTAGCAGCCCTTGAAATTGAGTGTGTTTCACAAAGAGTAAGAACGAGGATGGAAAATGATAATTTTTACAAATATTGGACTTTTTTAGTGCAAAAAAATCTTTGCAAACTTTATAAACTAAACAATTATGAACAAAACAGCATCATGTATTTATGCATTGCTTAGTCCAAAGAGCCGAAGCGCCATTCACACAGATTTCATTTAAAACATATGAGACGCAGTGAAAAGGAATAAACCTCCACAAATTCGTGACGTGTTTTCTAAAAGTTTAAACGGTTTTAACTTTGCATGGCTTTCTATACATCTCTTGTGTGAGACGCGAGACGCACTGAATATGCGTTCTGTGTGAATGGCTTGGTTTCGGTTTTAACCCATTCAAGATCTTCTCCGCATTGAGCTTCTATATTTCTCTAATATTTTGAATGAATAACACAGCAGCGGAGCATCTCGTGGGCTAGACTAACAAAACATTAAAATGCAACAACGTCACTTACATCCTCACCGCATCTCACGACCCACTGATGACGCTCCCTGATGGACACCTAACATTCAAATGCAAATGTTTATTTTAAATTCGACTAATATTCATTCTTTATTCACAATCTCCTCATCACAGGCAGGCACAGCACTCGTTTCAGCATGTGTTCGTGTTTGTATGTGCCTATATCGTGCGCTATATCGAACAATTTTTCTATCGATATCGATACCGTTTTATCGCCCAGGCTTATTTCATGACCCATTTTTTTAAAGGATTGTTTTTACTATATTGACTGGGGCACATGTAAAAAATACCTGGAGGAGTTTTGTCAGTGTCAGGACATATCAACAAATGCACTGATTATGCAATTGTCTCTTTAGAGGGTCGCACACTCAGTGCAATCGAATCGATGGCAGCTCAAACTTGCAACTTAAAGACATGAAGTATCTACTGCTAATGTTTTGTGCCAAACAACACAGGAACACCTTCAGGGGTCTTGCGCAGTCCATGACTTGGCAGGTCAGTGCTATTTTGACAGCACAAGGAGGACCAACAGCATATTAGACAGGTGGTCATGTTTTGGCTCATCAGTGTAGTTTTCAATTAAAGTAAATTTGTCCCACATTGTTGTTAATATACATAATGACTTCACCCTAGGCTAAAAGATTGTGTATTGAGCATTTTTCAGCAAATGGTTGTCGTCAATCCACATGCAAGCACAGCAATAGCCATGGTTCACTGTGGTGACCATACTCCTCTGATGTTCCCTTTAAATCTGGAAATAAGGTAGCCCTTAGGTATCATAAAGGTAAAATAAAGCTATATACGGATCTACACACACACTTCAACACCTGAGGCACAAAGAGCATGTGGCAGGGCATACAGGCCATTACTGACTACAAGACTGCATCTAAGCCTGTCAACAGTCAACATTTTACCCATCTGATGTGTTGAATGACTTATATGCACTGTTGCATAGAATGCACTTAACAACACTCCTGGAAAGAAGTCTGCTGTCCACGGCAGAAGAACTTTATTAGAGGTTGATTAATGTAAAGCCACTCAACCTGGAAAGATTCCTAGTCAGATGCTCAGGGACAGTGCAGTCCAATTCACAAATGTCCTCAGAGTAATCTTCAACATTCCTCTGAGCCAGGCAACTGTCTCAGTATTCTTTAAGTTGATGACCATCACATCAGAATCAGAATCAGAAGAGCTTTATTACCAAGTATGTTTACACACACAAGGAATTTGACTTGACGACAGGAGCTTCCAGTGCAGAAGAAAGTACAAACATAGTGCAGACATACAGTACATAGGAATAACACAGTAGGGATGTAATATAACACTAATATAATAAAAAAAGAAAAATTGAAAAATGTACTATATACAGAAATAGAAGTATAGGAAAAAATGTAATTGTTTAGATAAATGTACAGATATGTTTATTAGTGTGCAGATATGTTATTTACAAAGTGTGCAGTTTAATATAAATATAACTATGTTAGTTGTGATGGACGATGTATAATTATGAAAGATTAATTGTTCAGACTGAATAGCCTTGAGATGGGTTGCAGGGGGTGGTAGGTGGAGGTGTGAAGTGCAGATC